TTGTCGGTACGTTCGAGGGTTGATAGGGGTGCGGGGGCAGCACAGGTGGGGTCAGATTCAAACTCGGATAAGACCTCGCCACCGCTGGGGGGCTGCGGTCTACGAAACGATCGCCAATTGCGAAGATTGCCGAAAAAGGCAGCACAATGGGGTCATACCCTGACTCCAATTAGACCTCGCCACCCCTGGGGGGCTGCGATCTGCGAATTTGTCGCCAGTTTCGAAGGCAGCCGGGGGGGGCAGCTGGGGGTCATACCGTCATACCCAGACCTTGGTTCGACTTCGCCATGGGGGGGCTGCGAACTGCGAGTAGATTGCAATATTCGAGAGATTCTTGGGGGGGCAGCATATCGGGGGACCGACCCAAAATTAAATCAGAACTCGGTGCAAACTGACGCACGTTCGACACTTTCGAGGGTTGCCGGGGGGGACTCGAAAAAAATGCGTTTTACGCACATGCAGATTACACCTCTTCATCCAGGGGGAGGCTGCGAATTGCGAAAATATCGTCATTTTCGAAGGCTGTTGTGGGATCCAAAAGAGTAAGGCCTCACGCTGCTTCTGACTAGACCTCGCCGTCCCTCGGGGGCTGCGAGCTGCGAAACACTCGACGCTTTCGAAAGTTGCTGGGTGCTCCAGCTGGGCGACGCGCTATTCATATTCAGTCTCGACCTCGCTGTCGGGGGTCCAAGGAATGACGAATTACTCAAAATCCGACTAAACCTTGCTATCCCTGAGGGGGGGCTGCGAACTGCGAAACGCCTTCCATTTTCGAGGGTTGCTTGGCGGTCCAACGGAATGACGCCTCACGCGAATTCGTACTGAACCTCGCCACCCTGGGGGGGGGGCTGCGAAGTGCGAAACTGTCGCAACTTTCGAAGGTTGCTGCGTGGTCCAAAAGAGCGACGCCTTACGCAGATTCAGGCTAGACCTCGCCATCCCTGGGGAGGGGGGGGGGCGATAAACTGTCGCCACGTTCGAAAGCTGTTGTGGGGCCCAGCTTAATGATGCGCTACGCAAATTCAGAATATAAGTCACCATCTCTGTGGGGGGCTGCGAACTGCGATACCGTCGCCACATTGACGGTTGTTTGCCGAAGGATGGGCGCAACCTCGCGATCCATATGAAGTTGCGAACTGCGAAACGGCCGCGACGTTCGAGGGCTGTTTGGGGGTCCAGCGGTGCGACGCGCAACGCAACCCCAGATTAAACCTCGTTATCTCTGGGAAGGGGTGCGAACTGCGAAACGCGAAACTGTCGACACTTTCGAAAAGCTTCTGGGAGGGGCCAGCTGAGCGACGCGCTACTCAACCTCAGGTTCGGCCTCGCCACCTGAGGGGCTGCGAACTAGAAAAAGGCCACCACCTTCGAGGGTTGCTTGGGGGGGCGGCCTAGTGACGCGCTACGCAGCTTCAGACTCGACCTCGTTATCAAGCCACTTTCAGTGATGCTGGGGGGGGTCCAGCGGGGCGACGCGCGACGCAGATTCAAACTGGACCTCGCAATCCCTGGGGGGGCTGCAAACTGCGAAAATGTCGACACTTCCGAAAACGGTTGGGGATCCAAACGAGGGGCGCGCTACGCAGACTCCGATCTGACGTCGCCATCCCAAGTGGGGGGGGGCTGCCAAATGCAAAGCAATCGCTACTTTCGGGAGGGCTGTTGAGTGGTCCAGCATAGCGACGCTTTGTAATCGCCTTCACGCCTTTTCCCGGGCCGCCCAAAGACCCGGCGGAACGCCTGTGAGCTCTCAGGTAAGGTGCGGGCAGGAGGCGGGGGAACCTGGCGGGCGAGTTCGACCCAGCTCGCTTCTTGCAACAACTATGAACAGCTCTCTTCAGGAGTGCCAAGAGCGACATGGCGCGGGCCGCGCTGCTTGCCCAGCGTGCCACTGGAAAGTCTTCAGTATGCCTCTTTCGTTGTCGTGCTCTTCATTTGTCCACCGTCTCGCTGCTGCTGTCGCGTGAATTGTTCGGCCCCTCAATCATTTTCCGGCCCTTCGTTCCCACCCCCATTGCCGGTTCGAGCCTGGGGCCTCAGTCCTCGTCCTTTTGTTGCTGTCCTGTGAATCGTGCCACGCGCAGGTTTCCCATGTAGTTCGCCCAGCCAATGACAGATCCTGCACCGTCATCAGCCACACTGTCTGGGCCAGCTAAATTTATCACCAATTGCAGATGGGTCGGGTACGCAGCATGATTCTCAATTCACGAGGCCCGCCAAATGAGCGACGAAGAGAACAGGGCCTTACGCGAGATGGCACAGCGATCTCTCGCGGCGGCTTGCGCGGACTGCCGGCGCGGCACGCTGCCTTGGAGACGAGGGCGCCCACGCGCCATCTTGCGCGGGCAGCGTCCGCGCCACGTCGGTGAAGACGATCCAATTTTGCTGCGTCGCTCAAACTTGCCAGCCTGGAACATATCCCTATCCCTAAGCTGGGCATCGCCTCATCACAGTGCCTATCTTAGGGATTCCCTTAGTTTCTCAGGGCGCATCCCTAAGATTGTCATCGCCTTTGGCGTGTCAATCTTAGGGATAGGGATAGGTTCGAGGCTGGTGACAAACGGATGCCGAGTAATTGGTGCTGTGCCTGTCTCGGGTCGAGCCCCAAGCGAAGAGAAAGAAATTCCACCCGTGTCGCCCCCTGGGGGCTCTTGGGGCCGAATTGCCTGCGGTGCGGCATCGGAGGAGCATCATCGACGCTGTGACTGGAGGCGGAGCGGAGAGATGCAGTGCCCAGTGGGGGGGGTAAAAAAAACAAAAAAACACTGTTGATGCAGTGCACAGTGGTGGGTCCAAAAGACAAGACACTGCACACGGCATTCCTCCGCTCGGCGGATCGCGCCGCCTCGGCGCTGCCGGCGTGGAGGAAGCCGGGCTCCACATCGAGGTGCATCCCCGCTGTGTCGGCGAGGCGGCCCTGGTCCACGGACCCCATCTGCTCGGACCCCACTTGGGAGGCCCGAGTGCTTGCATTCGCGGGGGCTCTCTTGGAAGGGGCACAGGATGCTGCGCTCTGGGCGCGCGGATTGGGCCTCTGGAGGCCTCCCGAGGCCCCGCTCGGCTCGAGGTCTCTGCGCGAGTCTGGCACGCCGTGTACCTTCGGAGGCGAAGGGCAGCAATGCCCGTCAGGACCGAGGCATCCGGGGCGCGATTGCCACGCCGTGGGCCTCCGGAGGCCTCCAGGAGCCGCTGAAGGCCCCGCGCGAGTGCGGGGCTGAGGCTGGCGACGGCACGGAGAGTTCCCGAAGTCGGTCGTCTCCTCTGGACCTGGCCCGTCTCCGTCGCTGGCTGGATGGGGTTGGGGAGGGGGGCGACAACGACGACGACGACGACGACGACGACGACGACGACGACGACGACGACGACGACGACGACGACGACGGCGGCGCGGCGGCGGCAGCGGCGGCGACGGCGACGGCGGCCGCGGCGACGGCCGCGGCGACGGCCGCGGCGACGGCCGCGGCGACGGCGACGGCGACGGCGACGGCGACGGCGACGACAACGGCGACTGCGACGGCGGCGACGGCGACGGCGGCGAGGGAGGGCGGCGAGGGAGGTACGAAGGAGGATGCAAGACGCGGAGGACGATGGGCAGAGGAGCGGGATGAAGCGGTTGAAGACAGGAGGAGCAGAGGTTGAGGAGGATAACGACGATGAATAGTGCAAGAACCATGAAGCAATAGGACAAGGGGGAGGCATTGGAGGAGGAGGCGGAGAATGAGGGGCAGGAGGACTAGGAGGAAGATGACGCAGTAATCAGGGGGAGGGGGGGAGGAGGGAGATGAGAAGGACGAGGAAGACGACGCGGATGCCGAGAAGGAGGACCAGGAGGATGAGGGGCAGAAAGATAAAGAACGAGAGGAGCATGCGAGGAACGAGCATGACGCATTACGAGAGGAAGGAGGAGGACTGGGAGGAGGAGGACTGGGAGGAGGAGGAGGAGGAGGAGGTCCTCCTTCTCCTCCTGCTCATCCTCCTCCTCATCATCATCACCATCATCATCACCATCATCACCATCATCACCATCACCATCACCATCACCATCATCATTATCATCATCATCATCATCATCATCATCATCATCATCATCATCATCATCATCATCATCATCACCATCACCATCATCACCATCACCATCATCAGAACCATCAGCACCATCACCATCACCATCACAATCACCAGCAGCATCACCATCACCATCACCATCACCATAATCTCAACATCCACAACAACAGCAACATCACCAGCAGCACCACTATCATCGCCATCATCACCATCAACCACCTCCATATCCACCCCTACCTCCTGCAGGCTCATCCCACGTCTCGCCCTCCTCCTCCTCCTCCTCTTCCTCCTCCTTCTCGTCCTCATCATCATCATCATCATCATCATCATCATCATCATCATCATCATCAGCATCATCATCATCATCATCATCATCATCATCATCATCATCATCATCATCATCATCATCATCATCATCATCATCATCATCTTCATCATCATCATCATCATCGTCATCATCATCATCATCATCATCATCATCATCATCATCATCGCCACGACAACCACCCATCACGACCACAACCACCACCACCACCACCACCACCAACATCATCATCATCATCATCATCATCATCATCACCATCACCATCATCACCTTCATCATCATCAGCATCAGCATCGTCATCATCGTCATCAGCAGCAGTATCATCACCAGCATCATCAGTATCATCATCATCATCATCAGCAGCAGCAGCAGCATCAGCATCAGCATCATCGTCAACAACATCATCATCGTCATCAACATCATCATCGTCCTCATCAGCATTATCATCATCGTCATCATCATCAGCAGCAGCATCATCAACCTCATCCTCATCCTCATCCTCATCCTCCTCCTCTTCCTCCTAAGTTGGACGGAGGCGGCGGCCACCTCCCCAAACCGCAGCCGAATATCCTGCGAGATAGAGGGGTGCGGGCCAGCAGGGCGGGCGTGCCTTCTTGGTGTACACCTCCGCCGCGTGCTCCATGCGGTTCACATTATCAGGCTCGCACAGAAAGTCCGCGACCTCCGCAATCCAGCGTCCCAACACTTCTTCCCGCTCCTCCTCCTGCTCCTCCTCCTCCTCCTCCTCCTCCTCATCCTCCTCCTCATCCTCAGCCTTCTTGATCCACCTCCTGGTCCTCCTCCTCCTCCTCCTCCTCCTCGTCCTCCTCCGCCTCCTCC